GCCTAACCTCCAATTCCCCTATTATACAAAGAAGGAAGCTGAGGGCCAGGGGGACATAGAAGACACTTGCTTAAGGGGACACAGTGAGTCAGGGATAGAGCTGGAAATCGAACCCTGGGCTCCCGATTCCCAGCCCAGAATTCTTGCTTAGCCCCAGAGGGCAGACCTCAGAACCACTGGAGCAAGGAGGCCACTGTAGAGAGAGCTCTATGTATAGAAAAGTTTTCTAGGTAATTGAGAGCTCTCCTAGACTGGGATGGACTGGGGAACATTGGTGCCACAGAGTAACTTCAGAAATTCAAGCGTCCCCTAGTCTAGAGATGGTTTACTTTTATATGGGTATCTCAGTGCCCTTCCCTGGTGCCCACTGTCTTCCCCCATGTGGAAAAAAACCCCCAACAACCTAGGAAAGCCATATGATGGAACAGTGGGAAGAAAGAAAGAGAAGAGGGGGACCAAGCAGGCACTCGGTCTTAGTGGTAGAAGAAGAAGGGGAAGATCACTGGGGAATCCAGTGTGACCGATTCCTGAGCATGGGGATCAGGAAAACTCCAGGGAGCTTGGCTGGACCCTTGATTTGAGGAAAGTTTGGAAAACTGAGAAAACTGTGAAAGCTGTGACAGAGCCTATCTGCTAGTTCCCCCACTTTACAGAGAAGGAAAGGGAGGCCTGGAATGGGGCCTTTTACCCATTGGGGTAATGGTAAAACGGGAACATTTACCCAAGGAGTCACAGGGAGGTAGCAGCAGAGCCTGTGAATCAAACCCAAATTTCCTGACTCTTTTTTGGGGCTCTCATTTAGCCCCAGGGTTAAACAAAACTCAGAGCCCTCTGGTAGATACTACAGCAACAAATGTTAGCTCCATGTTTAAAAAAAAACAAAAGCTTTCTAAGAACATAGTCGAGAGATGCTGGAGGGCATCAGCCAACTAACTCTGGCTTTCACCCGGCCCAGCGGAGAAAGGGAGGCTGGCAAGGCAGGGAGCTAACTTCTGAAGTCTGGGGTGGGGGGGTGGGAGGGAAGCCTTCCCCAGCAGCTCCTAGAGCTGAGCCCCACTTGGGTTCACTGGGAGCCCAGGAAAGGAAGGAGAGATGAGCAGGGAATCAAGGGGGACCGGGCAAAGAGGGGACTTGCGCAGGTCCGTCAAGACGCAAGAAAGTCTCTCTTTCTTTCTATCTTTGGACTTTTCATAGTCTGGATCACAGATATGGAGCCAGACAGGCCTTCAGAGGCCAAGTAGTACAACCTCCTCATGTTACAGACGGATGAGGAAACTGAGTCTCTGAGGGTGTAAGGGGTCAGCCCAAGGTCACACAGGGAGTAAGCGGCAGAGGCAGGACTTTTACTCGGGTCTCCCTCACTCTGAACTCAGGGATGTGCTACAGCCAGCTTAAGATTTAATTGCTAAATTTTAAAATATTTAGTGTGAGCATTCACACCTTGGAAATGTACAAATGCTATAAATCAGGGCTTGATTTTATTGTTTTGCTGATTTCTAGAAAGTCACGGAGAAAATATTAATAATACAGATTAAACTTTAAAAGTGTGTCATGCATGCAGAGAGCCATGTCATGTAGGCAGGTCAAATTTTAAAATATTCAAGGTGGGCATTTACACCTTGGAAATGTGCAAATGCTACAAAACAGGGTTTGATTTATTATTCTGTGATTTCTAGACTTGAGAAAGTCATGAAGAAAATATTAATAATGCAGGTTAAACTTTCAAAGTGTGTCACGTATTGGAGAGCTGGTTGTTAAGTATTTACCAGTACACCCTTGCTCTAAGTCCTCTGCTCTTCCCATTGGGCCTTGAGCAAACCTGGAATCCATAACCCCTGCCTCCTCCCCCACCCCCACACCTGACCGGACCTGTCTTCAGGGCACCCTGAATGCTGCTGGCCAGACATCAGAGGGAGGTGATCCTTACTGCCGAGGGGCAGCTAGGCCCATCGATGAATCAGAGCTCCCTCCCTCCCCCAGGTCTTATTATCTCTTGGCTCCTCCAGAGTTCATAGAATCTTAGGGTCCAGGACTCAGAACTATCGATTTGGAGTGGGAAGGTGACCTGAGAGATCATCTATTCCAACTTCTTTTTTTTACAGATGAGGACAGAGAGGTCCAGAGAGAAATGACTTGCCCAAGGTCACACAGGGGAGTAAAAGTTAAGAGTGGGGATTTCTAAGTCAGATCCTCTGACTCTAAAAACCCAGCATTCCTGAAATGATGATAATAATAGCAACCCACATTTCTATAGCTTTGCAAAAAACACTCTGCAGAGCTTACTTAAACCTCACAATAGCTCTATGAAGTAGGCAGTATGGGGATTATGATCCTCTCTTACATAGCATGAGAAAATGGAGGTCCAGAGAGTTACTTATGAGTGTACAGATAAGTGACATCAAGGTTTTGAGCTCTGGTCTCTCCTGACACCAAGTTAAGCCTTCATTCCACTTATCCCAAGCTGCCTCCCAGAACTGATGAATCAGAGACCCACAGAATCCTAGCTTTGGAACAGAAGATAGGGAAAATACAGGCCTCTGTCTTGTTTGGGCAACTAGGTGGCACAGTGGATAGAGTGCTGGGCTTGGAATCTGGAAGACTCATCTTCCTGAGTTCAAATCTGGCTTCAAAACACGTACTAGCTGTGTGACCCTGGGCAAGTTGTTTGCTTTAGTTTCCTTATCTGTAAAATGAGCTGGAAAAGGAAATAGCAAACCACTCCAGTATCTCTGCCAAGAAAACCCCAAATGAGGTCATGAAGAGTCAGACATGACTCAACTGTCTTCTTTGAAGAAGCGGAAAACTCTGAGTCTGGAATGTGGGAGACACTATGAGATCTCATGGATGTGTTGACTAGCTTTCCTTGTATTGGCCAAAACCAAAACGCTTTTTTCTTTGTTTCAAGGGATAAGTAGAGGAAGGGTAGGGATATATTCAGAAGGGAAAAGGGTGATATAAAGGCAAAAGATAGAAATAAAAATCAACAACTTGAAAACAATAATAATCCTAGGTTTCCAGAATCTTAGAATCTTGAGCTGATAGAATCTTGGATTCTTGGCTCTCTGAGCCAGAAGGGAGCTTGGAGATCATCTTCAGCCCAGCTTTCCACACACTGCAGGAAAGCCCTAGACATGAGCACTCAGACGCAGTTATCAGTAATAAACACTCTCCAAAAACTGAAAAGGACTGTGTGCTTTCTTAAGCAACTACTACATATATAAGCAGGAAAGAGAGCAGCGCTGGTCCAGACGTGCTGTTTGAAGTAGTCTACCTGGAAATGCTCAAGTCACTCTGGGACAACCTGTCCTTTGTGAGGAAGAGAGGCTGTGGGGGAGGATGTGACAGGAGGCAGTGAGAGACACTCACACTTTGAGTTTTTCTTGAAGATGGTGACTCTCAAATCTGACTCTGGGCCTCTGGGAACCTGGAGATTCAACATTAGCAGCTGTGCAATTTGTACAGGGTTCGTGCTTGAGAGAAGGAAGCAAAAAGGAGTCAGGATGAAGACCATCCTTAGGGAAAGGGAGGACAGGAGGAGACCCAGGAACAGCAGACCCCAGGAAGAGCAACGCTCAGCTTTGACTACAAATAGAAGAGGCCTGGGACAGTCCTGGAGGCTGGGAAGGGTTGCTGCAGGGCCATAGTAACTGACCCAGCTGGCTGCCACTACATCAGATGGAAGCTGATTAGAAAGGAATAAAAAGGTAAGGCTGATCAGTGGTTCTGAGTGCGAGGCCTAAGTCAGGCGGCTTGGTAAGAGGAGCTGATGTTGCTCCCTGGCGCCAGGAGGTCATAAGAGGCAGGAACCAGGACTATGAGGGCCAGGGAGTTCAGATGGTCCGGCCCAAGGAAGAGCGGCCGGACCTCTCTTCACATCTCCAGAGAGAAGAATCTCAGGACAACAGAACAAGAGACTCTGAACTCCGACTGCACACAGAGGTCAGACAGAGGCAAAGAACAACTTCCTTGGGGCCAGGAGACTGAAAACCAGGAAAGGCGAAGGAGCCTCCCATCTCTGAAGGCCAGCAAGAATTAAAAGAGGCAGCCAGATAAATGAGAGAGCACCAGGCAGGGAGCCAGGAGGGCTGTGTCTCAGAGACATCGAGGTGCCGTGAAGAGGAAGCCGGACAGAGCCTCAGGAACACCTGGGTTCAAATCCCAAATCTGACACTTTCTGGGGGACCTCAGGCACTTACAGCTGTGCCACCCCACAGGAGCCATTTAAGCTCTCTGAGCCTCAATTACCTCAGCTGTAAAATGGGAGTAATAATAGCTCAGTACATTTATAATTTACACATATTTTATGTTCAGGACACACGAATCGCCTCTCTCTGAATGTCTACACGTAGGGGTTGGGGAATCAGTGTTGGGAAATGACAGGTAGAGAAGAAGGAAAATCAAAGAGGCCCCCACTATCCAGGACCAGGCCTTAGTTTGCAAAAGGCTAGTTGGGACCCAGACATTTGAGCTGAGAGGGAACACAGAGGGAAGGGGGAAACTAGGATCTCTGAAGCAACAGGCTAGCGGGGAGGACGGGGGAAGGAGAAGGGGAAGTGAAAATGAAAGTAGGATCATCAAATCCAAGAGCTATAAGGGCACGACCCCTTCATTCTACAGATGGGGAAAGTGAGGCCTGGAGAAAGAAAGAGACTTGCCCAGGGTGACAGAGCGGTCTGTGGCAGAGCTGGGATTGGGACCCATGGATCGTGACTCCCAAACCAAAAGGACCGCCTCAGTCCTCTAAACCACAGCCAGCTGGAGGCGGCGGCCAGGCACAGTCTCCTGCTGCTGTAAGAGGTACCAGAGGCTAAGGGAGACGCGGCCAGGACAGATGCTGGAAGGAGGATACAGGAAGGAAACAGAGGCAGCTGTGTCTGAGCTGAACTTGGCACACATCCCTGACAGAAGCCCAACTTCTAACTGAGCCAAGCTCCATGTCCCTGGGAGGCTGCAGAGATGGAAAGGAGGGACGGGGAGAAGCCAGGAGAGTATAGGAGAGAGAGGAGCCATGCCCATCATGCCACGCCCAGACCCATCCCTGGCCCGACTCTTCCCCTCGGTGTGTAAGGCAGCAATGCCGCAACAGCGCCAGCCAGCCACTGGAGCTGGCCTGAGGTTTGGTTACTACTCACGTTCTCAAGGCCCCCACTGTGCTGCTTCAGATTCTGTTTGATAGAGGATCGGGGGTTATGGGAGCTGGGATGGGGGGGTGCATCCCTGGTGGGGCTGAGACAGAACAGGGAGCAGGACCATGTGTGCATGTGGGGAGCCAATGGCTACTGGGGCTAGAATGAGTCAGGCGTATGTGACTGGATGCAGGACAGCATGGATTATCTTGAAAAATGTGCCCACCAACCCAGAGCATATGAGCTGTGACAAAATACATACACCAGGATGACACAGGTACATGCCATGACCAAGTACACACAGTACACACATGTGCGTGCTGTGACGAGCACACCATGAAATATGGATCTGAGGCCTGAGAAAGCACAGGTACACATCACAGGAAGGGGCATGTCCCATGCCCACATGAGGGGGTCTGCCTCCAGAGAAGTCTCAGAGACCCATACCATCTCTCACTCAATAACACAGAGGAGTCAAAGGTAATTTAGGAGTAACCCAGAGAAACAGTAAAACAGTAACCTGGCCCTGACTGAGAAGGAACCGAGTCAGTGTGTGGGGGTCTGAGTGCACAGGCTACGAGGGGATGGGAGAGGAGCTGACCCATTACTCACTCTGATTTCCTTGAAGAGCCTTAGGCAACTGCTGTTGAGCATGAAGTAACGGTCATGGAAGCTGCCTGTGGAGAGGCCTAGGCCCAAGAGGCTTCGATCCTCACGGAACTTCATCATGCCATGCTTGGTGTCCCCTACCTTGCTGGCTGGGGAGGGAGGACAAGGGGGATGAGGGGAGAGGCTGAATATCCTCCCTCCCCCAAGACCATAGGCTCCCTGAAGGAAGAGCTAAGACCCCACCCCCACCAAGAGCTGGGAGTGCCTAAGGGCAGGAACATGGATCCCTCAGACTAGAGGCTCCCTGAGGGCAAGGCTAAGTCTCTCCCTCAGACATGGTGGTTACTGAGGATAGGAGCTATAGCTCTCCCTAAAATAGGAATTGGAATACACAGAAGGGACAGAATCTGGCCAATACCTGAGAGTGGAAGGAATAGTACCCTGGAGTGGGGAAGGGGAGAGGGTAACTAGGTAGGAAGCTTCTTACCTAGGTACATGAGCATGGCCTCCATGGCCAGGTACTTCTTTACCACCAGATGACTGTCAGTCCCCAGGCTGTGCAAGATAGGGAGGACCTTCTCAGTGTAGTGCAGGGGCCTCTCTGTGGAGAACACCATCATCAACAATGCTATCAATGCCAACATGGTACCAGTCCAGCTACTATCATCTCCACAGCTGCCACTGGCACAATCACTATCATCTCCATCTCCATCATGGTAGTCATTGCTATTATCACCATATCTTTGATCATCACTATTGCCTTCATTATCTCCATATAAATCACTGGCACCATTGTTATCTTCTCCTCACCATCTCCATTAGCACCACCATCACAACAGTTATCATACCTATAACCATATCTCCAGTCATTGCTGTCACCTTCATCATCTCCAATCAATCACCAGCAATAGCACTTCATCACCAGTATCACTATTACCATCTCTATAAAGGCAATCACCACCACAACCATTGTATCACTCTTATGATCATTAATCTACATCAGAATCATCACCACCTTCCTCAGTGAGGAAAACTAGGAACCACTGGAGGAAAGCCATGGTGCAGATCATTTGGATGAAAGTCAAAGGAAACAGAAGTACTTCTGTCATAGGAGTATACTACAAACCACCCAGACGGAAGAAGAGAAGAGATGAGGAGTGGGAAATAGATAACAGATCTGACATGGGGTATGATGTAGTGACAGGGAACTCTGACTATTGCCAGAGTTCACTCTCTGCCAAAAAGCAAAGAAACTAATGAATTCTTGGCTTGCATTAATGATAGTTTTATCCTTTGGAAGGTAGAGAAAGTAGGGGAAGGGGAGCTGTTATTTTGAATCTAAGTCTAACCAAGCAGGAGGTGCTGGTTGCTGAGGAAGAAACCACAGGAATCTTGGGGGGAAGTGACCACTTGGTGGGAGAACTCATAACAGAGAAGAGATAAACTTGGTTTAGTTGTACATCCACCCTAGAATTTGGAAGAGCAGATTTCAAAATCAGCAAAAAGACAGGCAGGATTCCATGGTTTAATACCGTCTAAAGAAAGTTGGTCCAGAAGAGAAAAGAATTTAAAAATTAAATTCTAACTCTGACAAAAGAGAAAGAAAACAGGAAGCTATGTAAACAACCATATAAATTGTTCCCATTTAAATTGCTGTTGTAGGCACTTTCCTTATAACAATGCTGCGAAGTACAGAGACTGATTTCGGCTGATGGTACCAAATCCTAAAACACATAAGAGATTCCTAAATGAGAATTACAATCACTCAAAAGAGTTCATCCTAACGATCTTCACATGAAACATCAAGCGAATAAGGATGTTGGATGAATAACCTAAAGAGCTGATCCATTGATACGTATATCTTAGATAGACACTGCAGTGGGACAATTAATTGGGCCCAGAATTTGATTTGAGGAAGAGAACAGGCATTATTGGTATATTGGAAACTATATAACTCTTCCCACAATCCCAAGCTATCCCCTGAAACAAAAAACCATCTTTTTAACACCGATTTTAACCCTCTTCTGGTGACGCTATTTGGCTTCAAGTCATGGTGCACCACAATCTACGAAGACTTAAAATCACAGGATACTCAAAGGACAATGGGAAAATGCATGGCGGGCATAATAGGCTGGCAGTACATTTCCATTAATAACTTCTGCATACAAGATGTTGTGTAAGAGATACTCAGGAAACCAATGCATAGTGAAGTCAGCAGAGCCAAGAAAACAATATCCACAATGACTACAACAACGTAAATGGAAACAACCACTACCACAAAACAATCGAAATTGAATGTTGTGAAACTAAAGAACAAATTTAGTTAACCCCAGTGAAGAAATACAAGAAGACATCTTCCCCCGCTCCTTGTAGCAGTCTACGAGGTTGGAATGATGCATATGCCAGATGGTTTTGGTGCATTGATCAGTTTTTCCTGAGTTTCTTTTTTTCTTCTTCCTCTTTTTCTTTTTTTTTT